AGCCTTAACACCTTCTGGTTAATGGTGGCCCAAAACACTTTATCAACATCTTTGCTATTGAGCAAATTGATGGTGGCGAGCTTCAGGCCTTGGGCGACAAGCGAGGAGAAAAGGAAGAAGCTGAAAGGGACAACTTCAAAGACCAGAAGCTTCTTCACCACGTATACCGGCGTCGCAGGCGAAGGGGTTCCTGAGGCTGTGTTGCCTAGGTGCAGTCAAGGACAAACCCACGAGACATGGACACTGGTGGTGGAGGAATCAGAAGATGGCGACGAACCTCTGGGGGTTGTTGGCGTAGTACACCTTTGGGGACTATTTAGATTTGAGAAAAAAAAAATCACAAAAAGAATCCAACTTTACCAATCAACAACTCATAATCTTCAAAGCCCATCAAAAATTTCTAAAAAAATTTAATAATTTACTCATCCATGATCGAATCTCAGAACAAAAACCAATGCTTGATTATGTTTTGGAAATAAAAAAAGAAATAGAGCAAAAAAACAGAATCAAATGAAATTAGCTTCAACGCTACAATTATTGCTTATGGGTGCAATATACCTTGCTTTTATACTTGGGTTTGGCGTTTTTGGAGGGTTTTAAGAACTTGAGAAAGATGGATTTGATGTTCTTTCTTTTGGCCTTAGAGATATTTCTAGTTTGAACACAGGAAATAGGTGAGGGTTTGTTTCAGCTTTAAGCTTAAAATCAAAATGAAATTCTTTGTGAAAGATGAATGTCTTAAATGTAACCAAAATGGGGACAAGACAATATATGTAATAAACTAACAATAACCCAGGTGCCTGGGTTTGCTGGGTTTGTCATGAACCCAGGAGCTGGCTTCGTCGCACTTGGCTCCAGCCATTCATTTATTATTAATATATGAGTATTAATATATGACGAACCCCACGCCTGGGTTCGCGACGAACCAAGCAAACACAGGCAACTAGGTTTGCCTTTTCAGATCTGATTTTCAGAAGGCAAAGGTAAAAAAAAAAAAAAAAATAGCGAATGTTGAAGGAAGGAAAGGATAAGACAGATGAGGGAAGAAGATGAGGGAAAATTAGTAATTAAAGTCAAATACTCTTAATCACAAAATAACATTTAAAATATAGCCATGTCATCAATTTTTGTTAGATAGACTTTCCACGTAATTTAAGTAAAGGAAAAAATAAAGTTTTTTCGTTAATTAACTTGCCATATTAGCCAAAAATTAACGGAATGATTAAAAAGGGATCGGATTTTAAAATTTAGGGACTAAAAATGAGATTTTTTCGGTATAAGGACCAAAAAGGAGCTTTTTCCTATAGTAGAGGAACCAAAAAGGTATTTAACCTTTGGAAAAAAATGCAAAAGCATTATCCCCTTCTTCCACCTATTTAAAAGCCAACATTTGATTTTCTCACCATAGCTTTCTTAATCTCTTTTTCTAATTATCAATTGAGTCCCTCTTTAAGCTAGAAGACATGAAGCTTGTTTGGTGTCCAGACATGGCTTCAAAAGCTTATATATCTATTCATTATCATGTTTGAAAAGCATAATTTATGGAAATTACTTGACATTTAATTTTTTTAATATAATTTTTATAATAAATTAAATGACATTGTTTCATTAGGTTAGAAGAAGAAAAAAATTTGCTTAGGGGCTTTAGGCATCATTAAGTGCGTTTAATGGTGTCTTGGTGTGTTCAATTAATTTAGGCAGTGCAAATCATATTTTGAATTTCTACTTAGGAGTTGATGCAGGAGGAATGACATTACCTAGAGTCTTGGCAACATCTAGGCACTACCTAAGCCTACTTTTTACAACATTGACCATGATGTTTTGATTTTTACTTTTTTTTTTATTGTAATAATATAGTAGAAGCTTAAACCAAACAATATTAATACTTTAATCTATACTATCCTATTGCTTGTCTTATTGACTAAACCTATAAAAAAAACATATTATTTGCACTTTTACTTGGATGCAACTTGTTCCAATTAAGAAATTAAACAATATTTTTCTAATGGCAACCTTCTAACGTAAATCTTAAATTAATTAAACCAAATAGTCAATATACTACTGTAATACTACCGTGCTACCAAGGATGGAGTCAAGAATTTATGTTAGAGGGACAAATTTTAAAATTTTTTGTGTCATTTATCAATTTATATGATATAATTTATATCATTTTTTACATCAATCATTAATTTTATGCACGTACCATTTATAATATTTATGTCAAAATTTAAATTAATTAAATATATTTAACTATTTTTGA